GATGGATGGATGGATGGATGGATGGATGGATGGATGGATGGATGGATGGATGGATGGATGGATGGATGGATGGATTTAAAAAAAACGTCTGCTCTACTAGCGCACAAGTTTATTCGTGCAGTCCATTTTTAAAACTTTTCCTGATTCAGCAGATTTTGTGGTAATAAGGAAACAAAGCAGTTTACCAGATGGTGATTATGCAAATGACACCAGGGTGGAGGTAACTATTAACATCTATTTGAACTACTGTCTGTGAGATGATTTTTGTCTACGTTTTCTCTGCTTTTCATCCTCAGAGTGGCACTTAACCTGCACTCATTTGAGTCTTTTAAAACTATTTTCTCAGTTCAGATGTTGAATTTTGCATAAAAAATATGCATTCAGAAAATGTTCATTACCATCCTGGAGGTAGGCTACAATATATTAGTTCCCATGTTTAGTCCTTAGGTTCCAGTTCCCCCCGCGACCCCATCAGGGAATAAGCGGTATTGATAATGGATGGATGGATGTTTAGTCCTACATCTACCTCTCTATCCCCGTCAACAAAACAAAACACAAGACCTATGGATGTTGTTTTTAGGCTCCACAGCAGATGTTTTACACATTCTATAATTTATCATGTAAGAAAATCAGGAATAACACAATGCACTGTGTGGAGATTGTGGTTCATCTCTCAAAACTCAAAGATCATCAGTATGTGGCATCACTGACTATTAAATTCTGTAAAAACTGAACAATTTCTGCCAAACATCTAGAGTGATCCATCGATAAAAGAGGAAAAATATTCCAGATAAATAACAATACAAATCCCTGACTGGTAATGACATGTGGATTGTCTGGAAAAGCTTGTTGTAAGGAGCATGGACAAAGCCAGGAGAGTAAAAAGGCGTGGAACTGGATGATGGCGCAATCACCAAAACACAAAACAGGTGGGGCGTGCACACAAAAAATGTAATATAACTGGTCAAGAGTCCAGGTTGTTAATATCATCTGATATATTTGCATAAAGGGTGAGTCTAAAGTCACGGGACACCCTTTGATTGCGCAAACAAAAGAGAATCCTCCAACAAATAGGTCCAAAACATGGCCGCCATCTTGAAAGCCGCCATATTGGTTCAGGGGCAGAATTGCTAATGGGAAGGTGGTCATGTAGCATATCGAAAAAGAGTATACATTTCTCAGAAATTGATTGCCGCAGTCAGATTTGCAACAACTCTTGTGATTCAAAAGTTAGTCACAAGATAGCAGTTTCAAAACGGACAGATTAACCCAAAAAACAGCTGTTTTCCAGTCAGGAAATCATTTAAAATGAAGCAGTACTGTAAAAGCAGTCTTCTTAGTCTCTATCATAGCCATTTCGATTTAGCAGAATTAGAAGGAGAGATGACTGAAGTAGCTTAAGGAAAAGTAAAGTTTTAGTTAGATTTTAGCACCATGAGCCCAACCCCAGCCGAGGTCGCATTCACTCCACGGTCAGTAGCATTGATCATATGAAGATGGAGAGCAGCGTTTAGGCTCCCATTCACTCATTTCTGTCACAGTAGACACAGAGATGAACTGTGAGCTCTGCCAGCAGCTGCTTTTTCATTCACAAACATAAGCTGGAGAGACAATGCAGACGTGGAATGTGATCTGAGGAGTGTGTTACATAAAGAGGGCTCGCCTGCATTTAATGTAAACATCAGGGCAACTCCCCTTTCTGTCTGCTGCCACGTTTAGATTTAGCTTCTGTGCTTGAAAGCGTACCGGCGGCCTCTTATCAGAACCATTTAATCATTTGGTCCTGACGATAACAGGCGTTATCATCTGTAATCAATCTGCTGATATGTTTCATTAATCAGTAAGCATTAAAAGGACACACATGTGCTACAATCAGCTACAGGTTTGACTGAACAGAAGGCTGGAAACATCTGAAATAAAACTAAAAAACTAAAACTTTTAGAAATGATCAAACATTTGCTGTTGTTCAAAGGCAAAAAAAAGTTGGGATACAATGATTAAAAAATGAAAAAAAACTAAGGAGAAAGAATTTGAGCAAATGATTAAACCTTTAAGGCTTCTGAGAAAAACCTTTTTGTTGTTTCCTGTTTCTTAAATTTATTCAATCTGATCTCATCTCTATTGTAACTCACTTTTTTCACCATTTTTGTCCTTTAATCATTTCATCAAAGCTTTATTTCAGTGACTGTAATGTATTTCTTTTAGATGAACACACGCCAAAACCTGTGCGGACACATTTAAGATTGGAAGTCTGAACTTTTTCAGATTCCCGTGAAAAAAAAAAAACAGAAAAGAAAAACCTGTTTTGCTCCTGATTTCACGTGAGCACCTGTTAACTTCAATCAGATCCAGATAAACTGTTCTCTCGGCACAGAGTCTCTCACATCTGGTTCGTGTCTCAGTGTAATCTCACTTCACTGTCAGATACTGTACGCACACACACACACACACACACACGCACACACACACACACACACGCACACACACACACACCCTGGCAGGCTTGGACTCGCTGCCGCACGGTTAAATAAACACGAGCCGGCACGTGCATGTTCACACGAGTGTGCAAAAATACTAGAACACACTATCTCACTCACACACACCCACAAGGAATGATTCAGTCCAGGTGACACACCCCAGGAGTGTTGTACCTAATGTCAACACACTCACTGCGAGTTATGTCACAGCATCGTGGAGAGCAGAGGGCCCTCCCCCTCCTCCTGTCGCTGTCGTCCTTCCAAATCACCACCGAGGCCCTGCCAACGGTTAGATCAGATTATTGCAGGGCGACTGGGCCCCCGGGAGCATCACATGACTGGACGCGTAAAAAGACGCCGGGTTCGCTGCTGCCGACTGAAAGCAGCATCTGCTCTGCGTTCGCATTTCAGATAAGGAGAGGTTTCCCTCTCGGAAGCTTCCTTTTCAAAGCAGATGCGCTCCGACACGGCGCGCCCAGAAACGTTACAGTAAACACAGCAGGAACCGGCCCATCGGGGAAGTCCCAGCCGTTCGGTTTCTGGCTGGGAAACCATTCGAGTGTCTGTCAAGAAAACGAGCTGATCAGATTTGACTCTGAATGCACAAACAGCCGCTACCGACTCCTGAGTATCAGACATATCTACCTGTTCAACGGCCACATACAATTCTAGCTGACTGCGAGGAATCTTTTAAAAATGACAGAACAGAAGTTCATGCTAGTTTCTTCTCACCAAGAGTCAAGATGGATCCTGAGGCCACCACACACTTCCAGTCCTAAAAAAAGGGGCATGAAAATGTCCGCCGTCTTAATTTCTTTTTAAAGTTTACGAGACATTTGAGTTGTCTGTCTGCTTTGGTGTGGTCAGTCCCTCCTACAGAAGCTGACTTCAGGGGTTTCGGTTAGAAAACACAGCAATGACTCAGACTTTTGCACCCAAATTAAATCTGTTTGTACTAAATCCGGAGCTGTTGATCTCTAACGGTTGAGTGGACACAACATGCTGGTCCAGCTCTGTCGCCCTGAGGACACAAAGCAACGGCAAAACGGCATCCAGCTATCTAAGCGATTGGTTTAAAAAAAAAAGAAGAACCCTTTTCTATCCATGTCAGTTTCACATGTGATTCTATGGAGAAATGTGAGCTACACCCACTCCTGCGTGAGAAATTAGCATCGCCTCCCGTGTGCATGGTTCTTTAACGCTATGAGAGCCGCGCAGAGGACTCTGAATACTGGTTCCAGCGTTTCACGTCGCTCTCAAGAGCCAGATGCTGGTGGGTGTTGGTAAGAGGTTTGACCCGGGCAAAAAGAGCCTTAATGAAACACAGCCAGTCCTGAACGCTTGCAGCTGGATGAGAAGACACACTCTCAGGTTTGAAGCCACACGGTAAAAGTTACACACACCGGCGAGTTGTGATTTTAAATATAAAAAATACCAGTCAGGTGACCAGAGGAGTAACCCATTCTGCCAACATCTATCTCGAGTACAGACTGGACCAACTCGCCTTCCTCCTCAAAGGTTCAATGAGCAATGATCAGCCCCATTTTCTGCACATTCCTCAGTACTTTCAGTTAAATTCGCAGAACCTCCATTTGTCTTTTCTTAAGGCAGACCATCAGGGACGGGGACGCGTTTTAATTAAAAAAATAAAAGGAAACGCAGGCAAACAAAGAAACAAAAGGGAAATCAACCATTCAAAATAGACAAGGACAAGGAAAGCTGTCTGGAAATCAGAAACCAAACAGAACCAAGAGCAAGCACATGAAATATGAAGGAAAGCAAGCCAAGAAGCAGGAGAAAAAAACACAAAAAAAGAAAGAAAACTTCTTAACCACCAAATAACCCAATCAAACTCAACCTAAAACCAATTCTTGAATATTCCTCTGTTTCTTTCTTGTGTTTCCAAGGCAGTTTGTTTTAATAAATCATCTATTTCCTCTGCTTTGTTATTCGGCTCCACATTCTCACAGATTCACGCAGAAGATTTTCTATTGTTTGTTTGCTCTGAACCAGTGAATTTTAAACATCGTTTTTAACATTTCACAGGCACACAGTTCTATGGAAAAATGGCCTTTGGAGGGGAGGAGTGGGCACCGTGAGAGGCGGGCGATTAAAGCGAAGGTCATGTGAATAATTTTGCTCCATTCTCCATGCTTTTTGGAGTGCACTGGGAAATGTGTAATCTTTTTAAAGGTAAGACATGTCGTGGATGCATTCTGTGTTGGGGAAGGGGGGGGTATTTTAAAGGCTGATTATTATGAATCACTCTGCAATCCCCCCAAAAAATCTCCTTTTCTAAAGCCCCTGGTTCGCTCAGTGTTTATGCTGCTGTAATCTCCACTGCTTCCTCTCCCTCTGCTCCCTGCTTCCTCCTCCCGCCCCTCCCTTCCCCTCCCTTCCCCTCCCCTCCCCTCCTATCTGCTGCTCTCTCGCATGCTGCCTTCCCGCTTGGATGATCTCTGCAGCGGCACGTGACGCGGCGGCCGCACATGGCCCGGGCGTGTGAGACACAGAGAGTAGAGAGCGAGAGAGATTTCAAAACATGCAAAGCGGCCTCTCTCCCCCCTCCCTCCCTCCCGGCCTGCCTCCCTCCCTCCCTCCCTCCAGCACAGCTCTCTCTGTCTGTGCTGTGTTACAGAGTGCAGAGTCAGTGTCTTCTTTAACCCTTCCCTCCCCGGGAATAATCACAGCCCAGAATGTTAAATCACTACATTATCCTGCTCTCCCCTCTTTTAAAGAGACAGCAGTCTGGCTCTCTCTGTGTTTAACCAGCTCTGTTTGGTTTTGGCAGAGATTTCGTTTGAATTTCAGAGGTTTAAAACTGAATCTGGCAGTAAAATGTCACGTGTGCAGGTTGGCTGCAATAAATGATTTTCAAAAGAGATGGGTAAATAAAAAAGATAGAGCCAACATACAGGGTCCTCTGCTTCTTTTGCTCCAAAGTGAAGAGATCCAGTCACATGGATCTCCTCATCGGCTCGTCATTAATCTCTGCTGAAGCTGGATGTCAACCCGCTGCTTTAAGCTCAATGTATCGAAGCTGGGAAACATCTGAAGCAACACTGATCTACCAGATGCCTAAAACTGTTATTTACATTCGCCAAGGGATGAGTGGAAAGGAGGTCCTTTAAGTTCATATTTCAACCGGATAAAAGAGTCCCAACTCCAGATCAATGAAAGGGGTGAAACCCAGTTTCTCAAACCCATGCAGTGGTTTTACATCTTGAATTTAGCAATCGTCTGATTTATGTCAGATTATTTCTACACCAGTCCTGTGACAGTGCATGGTGTGATGAAAACAGCAGACTTTTCTCCCACAAGAATGACGATAATCAGACCTAAAGATGTTATCAAGACCATGCTGTGTACAAATTTAAATTCTTATGTCTATAATCAGCTGCTATACTCCTGAAAGAATGGTTTCTTCCTGTTTTGCTACATCTAAGAAGTTAGGTTCTCCATTCTGAGGATCTGTATCTGTATACTTTTTTATGCGTTTTCTGACCCTAATGTGCATATTTTCCAGAGTAGATTAAAAAAAGTGGAAGAGTTTAACTTGAACTTCAAACTCAGTCAACTTTTCTTTGAATGCTGCAGAAGTAGCTGTGTTAATGTTTACCTCCCCCCCCCTTTTTAAACAGCCCTGTTTACTTCATGTAAGAGTTTAATCAGAGTAAATCAGAAACAGTCTGTGGCCTAACGGACCACTCACACCTAAAACCAGCTATAAACTAGGCCTGTCAAACAGGGGGAACGGGTCTAAAGTTTAGTCCACTGATTAATAGAAAATAAACAAGTAAAAACGCTGGCTTAAAAAAACGGCTCGCACAGCTTCATCAAGTTCTAGGAATGTTTTAAATGAGTAGATTCAAATGTTTGTGTTTGTGCTTTTATGTGTTCCTGTCATGTCGATGTGACTGCCTCAGTCTGCAGCCGTCTGCCAGCCTGATTTAGAACTGAGCAGGTTCCCATGAACACATCGGCCTCCAGCAAAAGAACTACTGATTACACGTGGGTGGTTTGCCACATTTGGATTTTCCACTCTCTAACAGGTGTCCCTCAAAGCTCACTTAGTTGTCACGGCGTCAGATGTGACAAGATGACGACAAACGAACCACATTTGAAGGGAAATATTCCAGTGAAAGTGCTGAGATCTGCTGCGTTGAAGAAGGACATTTTGAGCTGCACGTTCTTAATGATTTCATGCTTTCTCCAGCAAGGTCTGTTATATGTGAGCTTTCTGACTTTATTAAATGACCTGGAAGTAATTAAGCGGCAGCCTTTTGTGAACTACAAATGACTGTGATTCATTATCATTTTCTGGAGGGAAGCAAAGAAAAGAGACGCTCTTCACAGAGAGAGAGAAACAGAGGAAAGAGAGTGTTTTGCAGAAAAATAAGTATTTACTGTGATCCTTATTGGATTTTGCTTTAGTGCTGCTGTCTGCTGCAATGAGAGCAGTTTTCAATCCGACTCTGAGTTTGGATGATGACAAAGACTATAAGATTACATTTATCGTACACTGCCCTATGTATATATTCCATTTGCACTCCTAGTTGGATTTGCTTTCCCTTGCTTGTATTTGTGACATGTGCAATGACAATAAATCAAATCAAATCTTATAAATTACAAGCTTCCAAAGGAGGAAAGAAAGCTGACCAGAGGAACTCAGACTGGGAGAAAGCCTCGGTGAACAACTGCACAAGCAAACCAGAAAATCTATCATTGAGTGTTTAATCAAATGAATGTGCTCCAAAGGATTGTCAAGGCTTATGAGCGTGCTTCATTCTTAGTCTGTTACATGCATCAGTGCTTTAATATGCATCAGGAAAAAAAAAACATCAAAACCAGCTTATTAGCTAAAGGGATTTTTTTCTTTAGATGCTTAACAAGCTGCACGTTCATACGTTTGAGAAGGCCACTTTAATCACTAAAATAATGAAAGCCAGTAAGAAGTCCTCAAAAGTGATGCATTTGTGTTGAATCCAGCTGAATTTTCTGTGAGAGCTGATGATCAGGAGGTATCACTTTTGTGTGTTGATCTCTTTCATCTTAATGCATGTCGATGAAAGATCTTGCGCAGCAACCCTAGGAATTCCTGCATCAGTTGCCATGGCGACAGGCCTAGGTAAGATATGAAGCAGCTACATGACGCTGAAAATCCAGAGCTGAACCTCAAATCACCCCGCTAAGCCTCTAATCCAACTTCTCAGTACAGGTGCAAGGCTCTGTTTCTGGTTTTCAAACAGAAAAAAGTCTCAATGTCTGGAAGCTTTGCTTAAAATATCCCACAAAGTGCATTTCTGAAAGTCCCCGCGTGGCAGAAATGAAGGTTCAAACCTCGTTGACTTGTGCTTAGGATGTTTTTTTAATGCTTTAAAGGCACATCGGGAGTGTAATCTGCCCCCAGTGATGCTAGTGTCCGTTTCGGCTTTGAAAGCTGCAGAACATCATAGACAGACTTAGAAAGTTGAAGCCTGTGTGTTCAAATTAAAATACTGGAAGAAAACAACTCTGGAAAAATGAGAGGCGCAGCTTATCTAAATCCGTCCATCCATTTTCTATATGCGCTTTTTACTAGAACGGTCACAGGAGAGGGTGGGGGGCTGGACCCTGGACAGGTGGCCGGTACCATCACAGGGCCACACAGAGATGAGCAAAACATTAGAGTCACCAATTAACCCAGCAGTACCCAGAGAGAGCCCACACGGGGAGAAGAAGCAAGCTACAGGGCCCCCGGCCGGGATTCGGAGCTTATCTAAATGAGCTGTGAAATAAAATATGAAGCCAGCACAAAGCTGCAAGGGGGAATCCAACCGGAGCCACGAATCCGGGCCCACTGGAGTTAATGAGAGCCAACCACCAGGATTCCTCTGGCTAGCTTCCCGCTAGCTGTCAGGATTCGACCCAAACCGAATCGGCAGCCATTCGTCCCCATTTGCTCCTCGCTGTGTCCTCGCTTACTTACTACCTGCTCTGACTACCGAATGAGGGGAAATGTTTAGGTTTAGCAGAAACTTTGAAAAATGTACAATTTCAAATGAAAAGCAGAGGATATTTTAAAGGATAGATAACTACAGGAATAGCCCTTTTAAACAGTACCTGTTAATAAGATCCATTTGGTTTCATCTTTGATAAATCTATAACATGAATTCAGCTGAATTTCATCCTTAAAGATCCATTTCTTTGGGCCTTATGTCAGAAATGTCTCTACAAGTGTTGCATTCACTGTGAATGGTGGTGACCAAGCTCCTGAAGGGCTCGGCAGGGGCACAGATTCTGTCATCCAAAAGGTTTGGTCACTTTGACCACCGGATCGGGGTGGTCGTTTCATCCATTTTATAATCGTTGTTCTTTTCCCTTCAGAAAGTCACTCTTTTTTTTATTTGCGGCGCTCTGAAAAGCAGCAGGTGAAATATATCCCCACATTGCCATATAAAACCACAGCTGCACGCCTGTTTTGGAGCTCTGCCTCCCCCCGGGCTGCTCTCTATTTAGCCAAACATGACTTAGAATCAAAATAAAGAGCGTACATATGGATGAGATTATTATTTCCAGTCTATTTTCCATCTATTTCTCCGGCTGACTCTCTCTGTGCAGCTATGTAGTAACACTTCAGCTCCCCGACGACCTGAGGGATTTCTGGCTGGATGCATCGAGCTCAACCCGGTCACGTGTTCATAATTCAGAATAAAAAGCACACACATACACAGAAAGATGAAAGCACGCTCCCATTACAGCTTGCACAGGGGCATGCAAATGCCGAAACAAAGAGGACACTCTCATGAGCACAAGTTCTGCACGGAGCACGCAGAAAAAAGGTAAACAGGCATTCACGAAGGCACAAACACACGCTGATGGGGAATGTTCGGCTCTCAAAGAAGATTTGTTTTCTCTCCTTTGTAGCAGCTGCTCTGGCCTGGCTGAACCTCTGCTGCTGTCTTTCATGCATCCCTCCTTCTTTTTCCCTCTTTCTAGCTGTTTTTTGTGCTAAGGACTCTGCAGCTGGTTTTCGCCGTGAAGCATCTCCTCCCCTATTGTTCCTGACTCAGAGGGAAAAGACAAACACAATGTCCCGAGCAGATTTCTCAGAATCCGATCGTGCTGAGCACCACGTCACTCTTTCCCTTCTTCTCCCTCTGCGTGGAGATGCTTCCCATTCGGGCTCGTGACAGCCGACTGAATAAAAAAGGGAAGGCATATTTACACAGCGGCCCTCTCCTAAAGCCTGGGAAGCTTTTTCAACACAACATTTTGAGATTGGTGACAGTGGATCGACCTGTACAAGCTCAGTGTTTTGAACTTTAAAAGATATGCCATGTTGTGCCTCTTCAGGTGTAGTTCGCACCCAATGCAAAGTCACGCCTTCAAATCTTATCAAAATACTAGAACAAGGTTCATCTTTCACTTTTTCTGATATGTCTCAAGGACCGCAATCAACCAGCACAAAAATCTTTATGCACACTGCCTCTAGCAGACTCTGATGTCATAATTGTTTCCTGTGCTTTAGCTGTACTTTTTAATTTAAGTCACTTAAAATGTCATTATGAGGTGAGGGCAGATATCATTCAGCTACTATTCCACAAGGTCCCCAAACAGCCTGACAGAAGCCCCATGATTTGCAGTGGTTCTCAAACTTCAAAACCCCCTCTCCGTTTCATCTTTAACATGTGCTGCCCTTCTGTGCTTCTGTTTTCAGAGGTAAGGCTCTAAAACCAAAGGAGCTGGGCACAGTACCATAGGTGAGCCTGAAGGCTGTTTTTGTAACTTTCAGAGTCGATAACTTTTTAATCGCAAGAGTTGCGGACAATCTGATTGCAGCAATTGATTTCTGAGTCAATTGTAGTCTTCTTTGATATGCTACATGACCACTTTCCCATTGGGAAAACCTGAGCCAATATGGTGGCTTTCAAAATGGCCGCCGTGTTCCAGACATCGCACCAAGAGATAAAAAATTTGACATTTTAAAGACAACAACCTTAGTGAAGTGAACAGATAACAACTAAAGAAGAAACTTTTTGACATGTTAGCCAAAAATAAAGAGACTTCCGCACTTTTCGTTTAGAAAAGCAACGATTAAAATGCAGAGCACACAAAGACGATCCGCTTTCCTTTAAACGTCCATACATCGACGCGTCTATTAAGAATAAACCATCCCAACATTAGCAATGACGATTCTCTGGGAGAGTTTTCAGAGATATGTCATCAGAATCACGAAGGATGCCTTCGTGGAATCAATTAGTCAGAATTGGTAGTTGTCAGATTTGTGAAATCTCCTAAATACAAAGGAAATAAATGCAACAGAGACAAGAAAGAAATGCCCGTCTGATATTCTGGCAGTTCTGGTTCAGATGAAAGGCGTCCTAGAGAGGAAACAATAAATTATGAATATGTAGATGGTGAAAACAGGCCGCTGAAGACAGTCGAGGAGGGCTAGAGAACAGAGTCATCCCTTTGTTGCACAAATAATTGGAAGAAATCCTACTTTGGAATCTGTTGGAGCGCCAAATGGCTGAATTGTATCAGTTAGTGTGATGTATCATGGGCCTGAGTCCTCATTAGTGCCAGATCGCATCATGACCTCCACATAAATGGCTTCATAGACATCTGAGAGAATTAGCCGATGGAGGAATTTGAATGTTCTGCTCCCACGCGAACATATAGGCGCTAATCCTTCTGTTGATTTCTCGAGAGCTGTAGAAAATGTTTTCTATTCACCCTTTTTTCACCCATTTCCTACCTTTAAAAGTCTCAAATTACGATGGTAAATCACACAAATCGCTGATGGATGGAGGTTAAGTGGTCGAAATGGGCTTTTTCAGCAGGTTAAAATGAATAAATATGCAAAGAGATTCAAATAATTTACCTTTCATTCCCTGATTTTTCACACTTATTCATATGCAGATTATTTTCTTGACTAACTTAGCAATCTTTTTACATTAAAATGTCCAAGATGACTGAGTTCCAACTGATGGAGGAAAATCCAAAGCCGATCTGCGCGTTACAAAAGTTTAAATTCAATTAAACTCAACTTTCTTCTGTCGCAGTCTTTTAAAATCAGAGGTCACTCACCGTGTAGACACTCTGGGCCTCCCATAATGCTCTGCTGCTGCTGCTGCTGCTGCTGCTGCTGAGGTGGGGGCGGGGGTGGCTGTGGCTGGACGGTCTCCAATCCGAGGAGTGAGGAAGAGGAGGATGAGGAGGACATGGAGGATGAAGAGGACGAACAGGGTGGAGGAGACGTGGGAGGGCACTGGGAGCTCTGGTTGGGCACGGCGGACTGGGAGCTCTGAAAAAATCAAATGGGCCTGTCTGAGATCAGGGCTGCATGTTTTTAAAAGTCACTTAAAACTAAACACTGGTGTCTGGCATCTTTTTCCTGAAATTCCCAAATGTCCACATGCGTGTTTTTATTTTAGTTCAAAATGGACAAAAATCCATATCAACCTTCACAGTGTGCTAAAGCAACAGCTGCATCATCGTTAACGCTCCCAAATGCATAAATTATTTTGGCAATTGAACACGTTAGCTTGGAAATTAACTAGTCAGCAAGCTGTGATGAAACAGCAACAGGATGTTTATGCAATATGTTGGTTAAACATGAAGAAAGCTGATGGAAACTCCTCCAAAAGGGCATCAATATTCTATCATGCTTTGCCGACTTTAGTTGTTTAAAGGTCATCTAAAGGCCACGATGGTAGGTTTGCACTTCCTAAATATTCGTCTTTTTCCTCAAAATGCTCAGATTATCTGTCGGAAGTGTAAACGTTCAGCTCTTTAGGTCTGACGGGGGACAGGCGCTGCTGGGGAAGTCGGCTGTGAGCAGCTGCTCTGCCTGGAGGTGCTGCGGGGAGCTGGAAACATGATTGAGCCACACGGATTTGAACCTGCAGAGCCTCACGTGTGGCAGCCGCGTTACCGAGACGCGGCAGACTTTTAGCGGAGCAGCCAAAACGCTTTGTTTCCATCCAGTTTTTTGCTCGGATCGGCAAAACAAACGACTCCTCCCTGAGCTGCTTTGTTCAAACAAACAGCTGGAGGTGCTAATTTCCTGTCGGATCCCGAAGAAATGGGTCCAAATGGTTTCAGAAAGAGGTAAATCTAAAACAGTTTATTCACATGTAGTGAAGTAAAGGACATATTAGGATCAGTTTCGTGCTAAACTAAGAAAGATGACAGTTTTATCACTGATCCACACATCTGATGTTTTGGGGTTTTACATATTAACTAATGAAATTAGCAACAAAAAAAACAACTGATGTGAAAATTGTCTTTCACTTTCTATAAAAAAAGGGGTTAGTAAGTCACTTTTCTTCTTACTATGTTGCTCTGTCTGTGTGACAGTAAACAGAAGCTAGTTACAGCTTTATTTATAGAAAGCACATTAAGCTCGTTTTGTAACTTTTATGATACTGGAGGCTTAATTAAGACGAGCCAGACGTAGCTGAGAGCTTTCCGGCTTGTTAGCTCACATGTCAGCAGTATTACTCACACTGTGGCCGACTCTGTATCTTAAATTGTTTTAATGGATGAAGGTTTTGTCATCTAAGCAGCAGCATCCCGTGAATGCTTTGAAAGTGGCTACGGGTTAGCATGCAGCCTTGAGAAGACGCTTGCAACCCGAGTCTGAAATTGGGGGAAAAAATGGATTTAGGTGATTTATTTAAATTTCTTTGCTTAATCAAGATAACATATTCACATCTGAACATATTCACATGTGTCCTCCTGACCACAGAGATAGTTAGTAGAGCCCCTCTGGCTATCTCTGGATCGCAGAGACAAAAGGAGATCAGGTCTTTTCCCCCACAGCCTGCACCTTATGTAACTCCAGCTGCTGCACACGGCCTCTCTTCACTTCTTCAAATCCCTCCTAAAACTTTCCTTTTTCGAAGGGCGTTTGGTGTGGCCTGTTCAATAGGGCAGATTTTCTATTGCTGCTAATCTGGATGACTGCCCCTCCTCTTCTATGAATCCCCAAAGATTATCAAAGAAACGAGCTTTGGATGGAGTTCATGAGTCGGAGGAGGGGGGGGTTCCGGTTTAAACCACCACTACCTGGGAGGGGATCTGGGCGCTGGCGGAGCTGGGCCCGTTGCTGTGCATCCCCATCCCGTTTTCGGTCAGGAACTCCTCCAGGTCCATGTACTGCAGCTGGAAGAGGCCCCCGTCACAGGGCAGGGTCCTCTCCCACAGCAGCGGGCCCAGGAACGCCGACTGGGAGTTGGGTCTCAGCGAGCCAGAGCCGGCGCCCCCGACCCCGCCGGGCCCGCCGGCGCTGATGCCCACCGAGTCTTCGTCCGAGTCCAGGGGCTTGTCTTTGTCTGGGGAGGAAGAAGGATAAGACTCACTTGATGAACAGAAACCGTGTGGTGACATCGGACCCCGACAAAGAGGGTCCTCAAAGGACCAAAAACCCATTCAGAACAGGTGAGAAAAGACCATGAAGGTGGAGCAATGTGTGAAGCCCAAACTGCACTTTAAGGGCCTGCAAACCAAGACGGCAATGAATAACTAGCATTAAATGAGACTGCAAACAATGGTCGGCTCATATTTAGCCAGATATGTGGCTGATATGTGAAATGTCAATAAAAACAAACCAGCAGATAAACAAACAGAAAACATATCGAACGTTTTCAGCTAGACATTTTAATGATTCATGAGAAATGTTCTGCTACAACAACAGCCCGGGAAGGGTCACCCCTTCAAGTATCAATGGTTTGTTTTTGGCCTGGAGACTGATCTATAGGCTCTGCATTAAAAACAGAGCAGAACTTGTGCTGGAATCCACCAAAAGGGCTCAGGGAGACCTCTAGAAATCCCTGTCTGTGGACACAAATTCAGGTTAAGGCTCCACCGTGCAGAGAAGAAGCTGTGAGTGAGCACGCTGCCGTTTCCTCTGGGCCTCAGCTCATTTAGGAGCTGTATTATCAGAATAGCCCATGTTGTCCAATCGCATTTGGGAAGCTGAGTATCTGCCTGATTATTTTACTTCACTGCATTCATGTATTCATGAGAGCCAGAAGGAAGTCGGATCAGATGGTGGGAGTCGCACATGCTCTCATCCACCTAAAAATTCTGCAAAAGGATGGAGAAGCTTTTCTTCTGTGCCCATCCAGCAGATCTTATCTGAAACTGCACGTATCCACACTAGTTCTCCAAAGACTCTCAAAAATGTCAAATAGACTCCTTTAAAATTGGAATTGATGATGGCAAAAAAAGCATTCTGCAACAAAAACCACCAACTCAGAATGGAGTCTGCAGAGTCTGGGCTTTGAGACTGAAATGTTTAAAGAGTCCGTAGAAAGACGGATGGCGCCTTGTGGCATCAGCAGAATAAGACCAGGGCGAGATTAGGTGTGATCATGTGTTCTCATTTGTCTCACTGCCAAACTTTGAACCATAATAACTCATTGCTTCATTTCTGTACGCTGTCCGTGGTCCTGAAACACAAAAACCTGTAAGACTTCCATCACAAATTTTGAGGCTATTATCCAAGTCCCAGCTTATGCGATTGAAGATGCACTTAAACAGCTTGAATAAACTTAAAATAAGTCAACAGATCTACGTGTTCTGACCATCTAGAAAAACTACCTGCTACACAGAAGTGGAGCAAACAGACAGGCTCTTTTCTTTTCTTTTTTATTCATCTCTGTGTAGCCCAATGAAAAGGGGACTTTTAAAATAGACAAACACACATCATTCTGACTGAAATCTCATTAAACTAACCTTCTCAAAGCTGGACAAGCACAACCAGATAGTGTCTGGACGTCTAATCACCTGGACACAAATGGGCTTAAGTACTTTGCAGAAGCTCCAAAGGTGCATAAATAGTATTCTTAGCTGTGTTTACTAACAGATGACGTCCCCAAAAAGATGCTTAGATTGACATGAATTTCGACAGAAAATGGGCCTGAAAATGGGCTTCTTAAGACTTCATCCACTCTTAAAGGTTGGTACTCTGCTCTAATAAAATCCTAATTTAGTAAAAGCAGCATTTCTAAAGCCATGCTTAGTTAGTACATTGATTCCCCTCCACGTGCAAAAGAGATAGGCTGTTAAAGTCAACATAGCATGAATTCAAACCCATTTTTTCACATTTGTGTAATTTTAGATGGGAATAAATATATACGGAGTGAGCGATAAGTCACAGGTCAAAGGGTAAATGACATATAGAAGCAGGTAATGGGTGATCCTCTAGGCCATGTCTGGAACACGGCAACCATCCTAAAGGACCAAAATTGTATCAGAAATCGGATGACACAATCAGATTTATTATGTCTTTTGTGATTCAAAACAGAACACAGAAATTAGAAAAACCCTCAGCTATTTCCTGCTCCTATTTGTCCCTTTCATTTATGAAATAAAACAATGTCCTGTGACATCTAATTCACCTCATAGACACCAAAATATACAGAAATATGCAATGATTATCATATTTTCTCGATTCAACTTAACAGCAGGTCCTTTGAAAAGACATTTAAGCTGCCAAGCAATAAAGAGGTCTTTGAACTCATTCTGAATTTAACATTTAGCCTTACAAGCTGATTCGGCTGTTTTTAAATAAAATGTCCGGTGAAGACTGGCTATGGTACCATGGGAGGGGTATGTTTCAGTAGTGATGCAGGTTTGTGAGGCTTCATGGCTTTTAATGAGCAAATAAGCCGGTGGTGACTAAAAATCATAATCACGCTTTACTTTGTGAGAAATAAAGCTCGGGAGATAAAACCGAGCCCAGGTCGGTGTTTTGTGCCTCTGCTATCACGTGTGTCCTCAGCTCTCTGTAAAGCACTTAGCTGCAGTCATTAAAAGGCCTCTATAAATAAAGTTAAGTTGACTGACCTCGCACTCTGACCTCACATGGTGGCAGCGAGTCAGATGGAAAGATAGATATGGACTTGAGTCATCAATAAACCATCAGCACAGGGGGAAAAAACTCAAAGAAATCTTGCAAATTAAGGAGGAATTCATTAATTCCAATGCAGCACCATGGGAAAAAAAAACAGGGTCAGAGATTGTTATGGTCCTTTAATAATGTTTTTCTAAAGAATTCCCATGCCGCGCGGATGCTGAATACATGGCGGGATGAATGATGGAGCCTTATGAAATAGCGATAAAAGAGAATATCCAGCGGAGGGAGAGCGATGGGAGGGATGGAGCCAGCCGGGGAAAGTGTGGAAGATTATCAGAGAGGCCCGAAACTAAAGACTATAAACACATGAGAGATTACAACGGGAAACCAGATGTGGCGGGACAGAAAGAGGGAGGAGGGAGGAGTGGATCGCATTTATGAAATCTCTCAGCAGCAGCGTCTTTCTCGTCTATCTGCTGTGTTTTTTATTTGTTTTTGTTTAGCCTGCATCCGCTGCACAGCATCGAAAAACCAAACAAATGATAAACGATGAGTCGCCAATATTTTGAGACTGGGAAGGAACGGGCTCTCCAATTCTTCAACTCTCCAAGCTGGGTTTAGTTTAGCTTTGTTTAGCTTAGTTTAGTGTTTTCACCTGCTTGGCAAATCAAATAGCAAATCAAGACTTCTTGATAATCTTTTTTACTTTAGGAGTCAAAAATGCTTTCTTTTTGCCTGTGAACACAGCTTTTACCCTTCACCACGACCACAGATGTGCTCCAGGCTGTACCTCACCTTTCACCTGACAGCAGCTGGTGCAGGCTCCAGTATCCCAACACCCCTAGTAGGATCGAGTGGGCACAGAAAATGACTGAGTATTTAAATGAGTATTGCTCATTTTATGTTGTGATCGTCTGAAAAACATAGAAAGACGTGCCCTGATAACCGAACGTGCCTTAAGATACGGAAATGCCCTCATCTACTCTGAAAATGGTTGAGTAAGGGCAGCGGACACAGAGATCCTTAAGCTATTTTTCTACCTCAGCAATGGAGGAGAGCTGCTAAATTGGCAGGCCGGCCATTTGTTTTGGTCTCAGCCGGCCCATCGCTTCCCCATCTATTTTTAACTTCATGTGAGGCGCACGATTGGGCGAGTTCAACAACAGAAGAGCCGCCCTCGTTGTGGAGGGGTTCGCTAGATTCTCCAAAACCGAAGGAGGCGCTCTGTGTTCTTCCTACATGGCTCCTGATATCAGCCAAAAAGCCTCTGATAAACATGACGTCATGTCTCTGGCCGGCGCTTCTCTCAGTAGTTACAGCAGCTGTTTAGAGTACGAACGCAGTGAGTCCAGCGGCGCAGATGTGCTGATGTCATGGCGTTTGACAGCTACCTGGAACGGATTCAGCTCTGCCGAGCGTAAAGGGAACCACCCGTCCAGAGGCCCTGATGCGGAGTCACGTCCGATCAAACCCAAAGAAGAACCAGGCTTCATCATAACTCGAGCACCAGATACACTTTTACATTTTTTGGGGTTGACTGGAGCAATATCCGATCCCTCCGGAGCAATTTTTTCATAAAAGAAAAATAAATATGACCGGAACCGTGTGAAGTCACATGGATTGCATTATGGATTCCATACAACAGGAAGGAATACAATGGATGTTTCCTGCAGCTATGGAGTCCTCCAATTTTCACAGTTTGCTCTAATGGACGGTTTCCTGTTTCCTTCCTAATTTCCTCCACGCTGATGGAAAAGCATCTTTTTCCTTAATGCATTTTTCAGCCTTGGTGGGGATAAGGACTTCTAATACTGAAGGGATTCACCCTGGGATCTCCACGTGGACACAAAGGAGACCTTGTGGCAGGACGTGGAGTTTGAGTTCGCCTCTCTACTTTTGATTGGCCTCTTATGGTGCTCAGAGGGTTGTGATCATTTCAGAGGCTGTGCTGTCAGGACGGCATAAACAGTCTTTTAAAAGGAGAAAATGTCACAGTGACACAAACTTAGATTTTTCTAAGCTTTTCTTTTTTGGGATTCTTTTGGGATTTTGGGCATATAGATGCTCAAACACATGCAAAAAATAGCCTGCTAAAGAGACTCCAGAGCCTGAATGTGCAAAATAAATATTTGGCATGAGGGCATGAAAAGAGACGGAGAGATGAGAGGAGCGAGGAGGGGAAATGGGTGGCAGGAAAGAGTGGAAGTGACATTGCTTAATTTAACAGAGGGTGACAGTTTGAAGCAAAGTGGACAAGTCATTTAGAGTGACAGACTGTGAACTGACCACAGAGAAGGAAATGATTCACAGGCCAGAGAGGGAGAGAGACTGGAAAACGGGGGAGATCTGTGGGAGAGAGATGCAAGAAAGGAAGAAAATGGCTTTGGAAGAGGAGCCTGAAACGCCAGCGTGCACCTTAAAGAGGACGCAGGGGGGCGAGACAAACCTGGAGAAACACATAAACCAGCAGAGGGAGAGAGTGGAAGACGCAGCGATCTGACAGAAAGACAGCAAGACGGGGAAGTGTGAGAGGAAAAACTCCACAACGCTCGAGAGAGAGAGAGAGAGAGAGAGAGAGAACGCGTGAGGGAGGGAGATGTGCGAGATGGAGTGGGTGTTTGCGAGGGCGTCAAACAAAGCTAGCCAGGGGAGAAAAAAGCAGGAGCGCGAGGGAGTATCATCCACTCTGCGAGGTGCAAGAACAGGGGGGAGGGGGGGAGGAGGGAGGAGGAGGGTGGAGGAAGGGGGCAACGAGGACCAGAGGCAAAGCAGTAAAAGAAAATCCAACACAAACCGGGCCGGCGCCCCTGAACGCATCGCGTATCAGCTGCAGAAGGCGGCCTGTGCCGACAGCCAGGCCAGGCGGGGCCTTCAGGGCGCGCTCCGGCTCCTGGGAGAGGCTGTCAGCTCCGCTCACCGTCACCCCCCGCTCCTCCCCGAGCGCAGCGCGGAGAGGGATCCGGGGGAAGGAGCCGAACGTGCACGGAAAACCCACCAGGGGCCGCCAACCGGTGCACGGAAAACCCACCAGGGGCCGCCAACCGGCAGAGAGCAGCCACACAAGAGCAGCTCCTTTTGCCCCCCCTCCTCCCCCCCCTTCCTCCTCCGAGTCCACAAAGCGTGCACCGGCTCAGCTGATGGACACTGGTGAGAATGGGCTCTCCACCCCTCTGGTGAGGGCTCTTGACAGGTTTATAAAGACCAGGCTGCTCCAGGGATGAGGCACGAGCCCATGCAAAGCAAAGCAGGGTCCCCAAAGTCCCGAGGGTGTGTGTGTGTGTATGTGTGTGTGTGTGCGTGTGCGTGTGTGAGCGAGTGAGACAGAGACAGCAGCTGACTTGGAGTTGTGACATCCCCACAGTCGGAGAGGAAGGAGAGGCAGCCTGGTTAATATTTGTCGTGGCAGCTGGTGAATGGAAAACAATTCAGGCCCACTCTGCAGCCCTTTATTCAAACAGCCCAAAGAACCTGATTACACACAGACAGCCGCCGCTGCCCACTTTGGCTGAATTTCCACGGCCTCCACTCCAGATCCGGCCTCTTTTCTAGGGGTTTTTAACAACCAACCCCCCCCTCCTCATCCTTCAGATCAATTCATTCCAGCACCAAATACAAATAGGAAGTGATTAATATTACAAACCCAGCGGGCCAGCTGGAGGAATCAAGTCAAAACACTGTGCATGTGAGTGTGTTGGGTAAGCAGCTCCTCTGTATTCTACAATCACACATACCCACTCAGTCACATGCACACACACGCACACCCCGTGAACAATCCCAGTAATATTCCTGTGGGAGACTCAAAGCCCTGCAACGACTGCCGTGTGTTTGGATCGCAGCTAAAACAGGGGATCATTTTGATAATCAGGGCTTTAAATATCAGAAAACAGGGACACGTTTGCACACACAAAAAAAGCTCCTTTAAACTTCAGCTATTCTGTCAAGGTGCCAAAATGGACAAATCAATTGAAAGGCAGCCAAGTTTACGTTTAAAGAGCTGGGAGAAGTGGTCAATGCGTGGGGAAATTTTAGTTTCTGCTCCTTTTGTTGTGTTTAAAATGTTCAATGTGTGTATGGCCGTTCTGAATCATCTCTGTTGCACTTTAGAAATACATCTTTAAACATATTCCAACGGTGAGTGTGACACCTAAACGCAGCGTGCTGTGTCGCAGCACAGTTCTGGCCACGGTCCGGCCAAAAGCCTGCTCCTGTGAGGGCTTCCAGCTGGGGGGCGTTTCCCTTCAACAACTTTTATGCCTATAGGATACCCCCTTCTTTGGCGCGCGCGCGCGCGCGCGCGCGCGCACACACGTGCCCAACACTCACCCTTCATCTCGCAACAGTCCTTGGGGCCCCTCTGGTCGGCCTTGATGGGCAGCTGCAGCAGGGACTTGAGGCTGGTCATGGAGGTCAGGTGGCCGCCCTGGGGGCCACTTCCGGCCGGGTTGCTGGCCCCGAACTGCGGGCTGGCGGCCCCGGCGGGGAGGTCCGGCGGCAGGAGCTGCGCGAGGGGCCTCGACATAACTTCTGGGCAGGAGGAAGAGGAGGATGGAGGGGGGGGGAGACGAGGGGGGGGCGCAGGGGGGGGCCGGAGGTGGAGCGGAGCGAACCCTGCAGAGCGTCCGAGCCCGAGATCAAAATAATCCACTTAAGAGACGGGAGCTGTCAAACGGCGCGCGGACAGGTGACGCGTGCACGCGCTGGAGATGTCCACCTGAAGTCCCGCTTTTCCGCGCGTCCCATGCAGGAAATGTGCAAAAGAAGCGAACACAGAACAAAAAAGGGGGGTGGGTGCGGGGGTGTGGGGAGGGAGGGGGGGGGGGGGGAAGGGGGGGGGGGGGGGGGGGGGGGGGGGGGGGGGGGGGGGGGGGGGGGGGGTTTATCTCCGAAATGTCAGCATGATGAGCGGCTCTGTGTCATCCTCTCCGGAGTTGCTGTCAGGGCTCCTCTCTCCGACACAAACTCTGACAAACACCGACACACGCGACCAGATCGGAACCGAATCGGTGGAGGCGGTGCAGGGAAAGAGGCGGCAGGCTGCCCGGTCCCGGTCCCGGTCCCGGTCCGGCAGGTCCGGGCTGTCAGGCGACAATTTGGAGCAGCGACGCTCCCCCCAGAAACAGTTAAAAAGAAAAAGAAATAAAAGCTGGGATGAAGGCTGGTTTCTGTGCTGTCGTGCAATGAGCGAGGATTTTTTTTTTTTAAAAAGAGCAGAACCGGGTCGAGACGCGGCGGTGGGAAGTCTCCAAGTCACGCGACGACGAGGCTGACAGCGAGCGGAATAATGGCAGGTGAAAGAAATACCGAGAACCCCCGCAAAAAAAAAAGAATCAAATCCAGTAGTATGGGAGTCGGAGAGATGGTGGCTCTTATCTCCCTCCCTCCTTCGCGCAAACACGCGCGAGCGCGCCAACTCACACGCACGCACGCACACACATACGCTCGCGCGCGCGCATCTCTCTATTTTCGATGTTTTCTGGCCCTCTCTCTCTCAGCCTGTCAGCTGGAACCAACACGGGCCGCTCGCGTGACGTCACCGCTCACGGGGGAAAGGCGCCCGGGGGCGTGGATTATTTGCATGGGACGCCACGCCCACCACAGAGCAACGCCACGCCCACCAGGCCCTCCGATCCACTGCGGTGCGTTCAGGGTTCGCAGGAAAGGTGGTAGATGTGAGGCGTTTAAATGGAGTTCACTTCAACTTCAGTAAATATTTCATGTTCATAATTTAATATTCGTTTTCAGAGCACCTAAAGTCATTAAACTTTGTAGACGGTGGAATAAATCACAGTTTCCTGGGGTTTTCAATACTTTTTAATACAAAAGTTGGAAGTGTGAACACTTAATATGTTTAAATGTATAGTTGATTAAAGCTACAGTAAAACTTAAACCTGACTAACTTTCATTTCCCATGTTTTTGGGTTATTGGACTTCAGGTCGATTCACAAACAGTTTAATGAAGGCTGTTGTTTGACATTTTTGCAGCATTGTAAAATAACCTTAGTGCTCTATTCTATCTTCTATCCTGCACAACTATTCTCCGTTGTAGGTGGTTTCTTCTTCTTCTGTGGGGCCTGCTAGCAACTTGTGTTATTTCTGGATCAAAGGCCGGGTTGGGAAGTGCTCCAGGTTCCGGAGCACTTATGCCAGTTTAAGCCTACTTTGGAATATACATGCTGAATGTCTTTTCTAGAGAACTTTGCTTTTGAAATATTATATCATATGAGCATGTTTTCCCTTTGTTATCTAAGGCGTCTGTCTTTTTTTTGGGGGGGGGGGGGGGGTGCTCCCTGTTGCCCTTGGCATCGGCGTCTTTTTGCAGCCAACTCAACTCAAAGAACTGGCGTCTTCTCTGTTGGATGGAGCGTATGAGAAGGAGGCAGCTTAGACGACAGAAAGCTAACGGCTCATTTAAAATGTCAGAAACGATCTGCTCTGATTTGCCGTCTGTATTTCCCCAAAACAAGTGACACTTTTACAACCACGCAGCCATGTTGGAGACAATTTAGACCAGCTAACACTTCAGATTCAAGAAAGAGAGCTGTTTAACGAGGACATAACAAAGCACATGCCTCCCTATCTACTTGGTCTTCTATTTCCCTTTATTGTGTAACGTATGCTTTGTTGGCCTCTTCTGCAGAGGCAAACTATGAATGCCTGCTCAGGTGTAAATTACAACCACCTGGACCCCAGCTGGACAACATGTTTGCGGTGTGTTCAGGGTTTGTTTAATTTCCTCAGAGGGTGGCGGCAGAGAACATCCCAAACAGATTATTGGTTTTGCTACAGTATGGGGGTCTTCCCTGCTGTCAGATCCTGCCAACTTTGGAGAATCAGAAATGTTTTGACAAGCTGAGCAAAGTGATCGGGACAAGCAAACCAGCATCTTATGATGACTTTTTTTTTTTCTTTACCAACTTTTTCTTGGCATCCCTGAAACCTCCAGCTAATCACTCCAGTTCATGGATAGAAATGACCACATTTCTGTGGTCATTTTTGTGGTCATTTCTGGTATTGTTTGCGTTGGATGAATTCATGTTCAGGCACTGATGCCTTGTGGACTGATCCATTCTAAATAGTTTTGGGCTCTTTCACCATGGCTATGACCTAAAGGGATATTCAGAGATTTTTAAGGAAGAATTAAACCCTTAAATCATCCCTGTGCCTATTTCCGAGAGTCATTTAGGCCACAGAAAGATTTAACATGCAAATAAAATGTATTATTTGAAGCTTTTATTGTTAATTTTCAGTACGAAAAAAAAATTGTTTCACCGTCTGTGAGCTTTTGTGTCAAACGGGAATGTTTTCTCCACTGTTTCCTGAATGCAGCATGATGAACACATCAACATGACTCCGCCCTCCGGTTTCAGCCAATAGCGAGCTTGTCCCGGGAGTGCTGAGCACCAAATCACGGTGCTGGAGCGGATCTCCATCCCGGATGGACCTTGAGCGAAACCCCGCCCCTCTGATCTTCTCTCACGCTGTCATGTAAACATTAGAAGACCAAAGCAGAGACAAAGACCACTGACTGAGAAGAAATTAAACGCACAAACTCCGGATGTGCGCTTGTGTTTCTCATTTTACCTCCTAATAATCAGAGCAATTACAGAAGATTTCTACCAGTCGTAAAACACTCCAATAAGCTATTTTGACTAAGCATTAAGGGCATTATGGTACATAAAAATGAAGTATGGAAAGATGACACGTTCAAAAATTAGAATATTATCTCCATGTCTGTAAGAAACCATACAGACATTGCTCCTTAAACTATTACCCGCCGTCTATTCCTAAAACAACAGTATTTAGAGGAGTGAAACAGCATTTGGTGGAAGAATAGCAACAGTCCCTGCTCGCCGCTCGCGCTCTCAACTCCAAGGAAGCACATGTCCCTCGCACGCGCCGACTGCTGCCTACCGGCGACTGTGCCGCGCTGCGATTGGCCGTATCTGGGTCACCGGCTGTTCTTCCCGGCCTCCGATTGGCTAAAAATAGGTCAGAGTCTCCGCCCACAGGTTTCCCCATGCTAGTGCCGCGTGAGGTGGAGTGGGACAGGGTTTGTTTGGCGTTTCACATCTGAGGGATCGATTTATCCTGTTTACTTCGTCGTAGTAAATCCGGTTTTAGTGCAAATTTAAAGAGAAATCACTCACATATGAAAGAACAAGATTCTCTCCAGTTGTAAATTATATATTTTAAACAAAAAAACTATTTTTGATAGCTGCATTGTACTAAACTAACTGAATCTAAGTTATGACATGTTTATTTGTTTGTACTTTTACTAGTATTAGTACTACTACTACTGGTTTAGTAAGTTTGGTCATTTTAAAGCAGATATTTATCTTATTTCATGTTGTATATACATATTGCAGGTTAATAGTTCTTGTACTGTGGGCGTTTAGGGATTAGAAACAAAGGCCTGGTACATTCCCTCTGAGTTGGTACATTTTGTTTCATGTGAAATGGGATTTTAGCCGTCCCTCTGCCCATAAACCTGCTGAAATGGCACACGTTACTTCAGGAACAGCTTGTGAACCAACCAGAGGAGCATGTTGACTTTCCAGTGGATACTCATCCCTCATCTGACAGGCCATGAATCAGCTGCTGCTGCGGAGCCCCATTCTTAGAAAGACCTGTGCTATCTGGTGTCATGCACTGCTGTAACCCGGTAAATGTGAGTGGAGGGCCCCCCAACGGCAGCCGCGAGGCCTCAAACATCTGCCCCACCGCAGCGCTGAAACACCTGGGGCGTCTTTACTCCGGCTCTACGTTGTCTTAGCGTCAAATTATGAGAAATAATCCTCCCCTGGTCCTTGCAATCCACACTTCTGAAGAAACCATCTTCCGGAGGGAGGGGAACGGCACCATCTAGTGGCCATTTACTGGCAGTGCAGCAGGAGATTGGCACCCTGGCTGCAAACGAACCCCTAAAAATCCAGCTAAAACTGCTCTGTGGGGGCATGTAAACATTTCTGATGGGTGATATTAAATACAGTCCGCGCATAAATAACCTGAAGCTACTTTTTAGGCACCAAGAGCAGACAGAGCTGACTGATTTGGTCTTTAACCAGATGGCATGTGGATAGTTTCATGTCTTTTGGCCTGCTTTACGGCACGATTGTATTTAAATAAAGCAAACGTTAGTTGAGAAATAAGCAAACTACGAATACTTTATGCTGATCATTTAAACCTTTTCTTGATGTATAATCAGTTATTTTCAATAGCTTACAAACAGGATTTACAATTTCAGTCAACTCAATGTGTGGAGCATCTGCTAATGTGTTGAAAATTGATAACCATGGCACAAATAAAACTTGGCAAGACCTCCTTTAAACACACTTTAGTGTTGAAGTTTTACAACCGGGGCCTCCCAGCCTGCCTTCATTTTCCCTCCCAGGGTGGGAATTGGTGTTTCATAGGAGCTTCATAAACAAAGGCGGCTTTGTTTTCCAACCCAAAGCACCCATGTTCTAAATACAGGTCTAATTTCTAAGGCAGCTTCTTTAATTAATCAGGCATGAATCGTTTGGATTTTTGTTAATTAATTGTCAAGAAAAAAAGAAAAACTTAAAAAAAAAAAAACAGGCAGTTCAACTGTTTTTTAACCATATTAACACAATTGGCCAGTAGAGGGGAGTTTTTTGTTGTTTTTGGAGTTGCGTTACAAATCATCCCACCAGTCTGACGCTTGCGAGTCCTCGTTAGCAAAGACACTTTTAATTCACTCAAATTTCCGCCAACACTTTCAATTTGAAGTTTCTCTTTTCTTTTTTTTTAATTGGATTTGAGGGTTTTCAACAACTCACTTTCAGCCAAATAAGTGGATAGTTTTTCAGTAATAATAATATTACATGATTTTGTTTTACAAAAGAAAAAAAAAATAATGATAAAGAAACGCACATCTGGACAGGACCTATGTAATGAACTATGTGCACACGCTTGTTACAAAACTGGGGCATACATGTGGCCATGAGGGAGTGGGTAAACAGGGAAAACTGGGGGGGATATTACATTGATACATATACTCATCCCTCTGTTTTACAAAGACAGCCCCACCTCCTTCCCACCCACCCTCACAATACCGACGATGATAGAAGAAATGATACGTGGAGTAAAAAACAGCAAATAATGTATAATAAAATATAATACTAATTGTACAGTACATGTTATTTCCGTTGTCCTTTTCAAATCCTGAATACATTAACAGCTCGAGTCGTGTTTTCACCTCATCCACGCCTCTTAAAAAAATAAAAAATGACAAAGTAGTGTACATTGAAAAACACGGCAAACACTTCTCTTTTTGTCCTAATTCCTCTTTACCGTCCATTTTCTGTCACTCAGGACAACGAGAATTGAGGCCCTCGCTTTGGGAGCCTCGTAGTATCAGGACCCAATTTTATTTTTCGTAAAAGATTAAATCATCTTTTGGGGAAAAGGCTGGTATAAAAAGGGAGTTGTTGGACAGCTTGACAGTACCTTTCCTCTATGCTAAGTGGCCGACGGCTGATGGAGCACAAACACCTCAAACAGGAAGTCAAAACAGAACGGAAACCTGGGTTTTTTGCGTTTCAAACAGATGCTACAAAGATCACGACTCTCTTCCCTTTTTGGGGAAGAAGGACACTGATGGTAGTTTGGATTCTGGGCCTTTTAAAGTCCGCAGGAGCGCACCACCTCTGCTGGGGAGCGGTGGGACTGTGGGCGGTGGCGGGGACGATGTGGTAGTTAGACTGAGCCGTCCCCACCCGCCCGGCTTCTTCTTCTGCTGTTAAAAACGTGCCAGCTCGTGCCTGCTTCTCAGATTATTAGATAAAAATAAACATCAGAAAGGATCTAGTCTAGAAAACTGTTTGTGTTCACTGGCTGAACTCAGTCAGAACTGTCGACCTCTCGGGTTGGACCAGAGCCGGAACCGCCAACCGGACCGGCGAGAGCTCACCGTCCGAAGGGTCGCGGGACAGCGGCGACCTCATCTTCATCAGCCCCCAGTTCCCGGTGGCCCCCCGGCAGGAAAACTTGTGGCGGGCCAGCAGCTGGGGGCTCCAGAAGCGGTGGGGGCATCTGTGGCACTGGAAGGCAGCCTGTCGGAGGTGCTGGCCGCGGTGTCTCAGGGCTCTGTGCAGCGAGGCGCTGCGCCTCCCGCACACCTGGCAGCGCCGGCGGGCCGAGCGGCCCGAGTCCCTGGGGGGGTGCCGGACGGCGTGGTGGACCAGCAGGGAGCCCAGTTTGGCGTAGGTGGTGCTGGGGCAGATGGGGCAGGGGAAGCGCTTCAGGGGGACGTCCATGGAGGTGAGCCCAGTGACCCGGACGGCGCCGCCGCACCAGGTCTTGACCCGCACGCCGCCGCCCTTCAGCTTCAGCTGGGCCAGCAGCTTCTTCTTGTTGAACTGCGCCTGCAGCCGGCCCCGCTTCCTCCGCAGGACCATGAGCTTCCGGCGGGTGTCCTCGCTGAGGGGCACGCCCACCAGCCGCCCGTCCCGCATGATGCTGTGGATCACCAGCCGCCGCTTCCTCCTCCTCGCCTTCCGCGGCGGGCCCGGCTGCTTCGGGAAGCCTTTGGCGTGGAACTGAAAGGCGTTCTGCTGCTGAGCCGGCGGCTGTGGCGGGGGCGGGGGCTGTGGCGGCGCCGGCTGTGGCGGCTGCTGCTGCTCGGACGCCGCCGCCGGCATGTGGGACGCCGCGGCGTAGCCGGCGCCCGAGCCGGCGTCGTAGAAGAGCGGCGAGTAGCCGGCGGGCTGGCCGGCGCGCTGGCCGGCGCGGTCGATGCCGTGCTGCGACAGCTTGTGGCGCACCAGGCTGTTGGAGTAGGCGAAAGCTTTGCCGCAGACCTCGCAGCGGAAGGCCTTCTCCAGCCCCACGCCGCCGCCGTGCACCGTCTGCTGGTGCGCCGTCAGGTGGAAGTAGTGGCGGAAGGACTTCCAGCACGCCGTGCAGGTGTACAGCCTCTGGGACGGCGTGCCCGACGTGGGAGACTTCTCCTCCTGGGAGCACGAGGAGAAGTAGTCGGAGCCGGCCGAGCCGGCCACCTGAGCGATGGCGGCGGCGGCGCCGCCCTTGATGCGGCGGCCCTGGCTGTCGATCTCGCCCTTCCGGTGAAGCTTCCCGTGGCGCACCAGGCTCTGCGCGTAGGCAAACATCTTCCCGCACAGGTTGCACTTGTAGTTCTTCTGGCCGGAGTGGACGGTCAGGTGCTTGGTCAGGTGGAAGGGCTCGCGGAACGTCTTGCCGCAGACGTCGCAGGCGTGCGGCTTCTCGCCCGTGTGGACACGGTTGTGGCGCCGCAGCGTCTCCGCCCGCCGGAAGCGCTTGCCGCAGATCTGGCAGCCGTACGGCCGCTCCGAGCCGTCGCCGGGGGGGGCGGGGCTCCTCCGCCGCCGCACGACGGCGTTGGGGTCCCGCTTCTCCCTGGGCTTGCGTGGCCGCCGCGGCTTGGCGTGGGGCTGGCTGGGGTGGGTCAGCGGCATGGTGGCGCCGTTGAGGCCGGGCGTGGTGGACGAGGGCCCGCCCATGTTGCCGAAGCCCAGCCCTCCCAGCAGCCCCCCGATGATGTCCCTCCTCTCTCCCTCCCGGCTCTCGGTGTTGAGGTCGCAGGAGGCGGCGGCGGCGGCTGCGATGGCCGACATGGCGCTGCTGGTGACCTCGTCCTCCGAGTCGTCCAGCAGGGAGGAGAGGGGGAGGTGGGGCTGCTGCTGGGGCTGCTGGGGGTGGTGGTGGTGCTGCTGGCTCTGCGGGTGGGGGTGGAGGGTCGGCGCCAGTGGAGCCTTGCGCAGCGTCTGGCTGCTCAAGTCGTTGGACAGGGCGCCGTCCGACGGGTAGAGCGAGGAGGGGGGGGGCCGCCTGTAGTCGTCCACCCCGCCGCTGTACGCCGCCGGGTTCTGGTAGCGGTTTCTGGAGTAGTCCGCTGCATACTTGTCGTTTCCTAATCCCGCCCCGTCATTGGAAAGCCCGACGCCGCCGTCACCGCCGCCGCCCATCTTGCTGCTGCTCGGGTCGGACGGCGTGCCCCCGCCCCCCGCGGCGGCCCGGCTTTTGGAGCTGCGGGGCGGCTTGCCACAGGCGCCGGAGGCTGCGTGGTTTAGCAGCGAGGTGCTCTCACGGAAGCAGCGGCCGCACGCCGGGCAGCGGAAGGGCTTCTCGTCGTGGATCTTCTCGTGGCGGGTGAGCGACTCGCGGCGGTTGAAGGACTTCTGGCAGATGCTGCAGACGAAGGGCCGGTTCTCCGAGTGCGTCACGCTGTGCTGGATGAGGTGGCCCCTCTTCTTGAACCGCTTGCCGCACTCGCCGCAGCAGAATATCCGCTCGGGGCTGGGCGAGTTGCAGTCCGACTTGCGGCTCTGGCTCTCGGGGGTCAGGCCGTGGCTGCGCAGGTGGCGCCGGAGGCTGGAGAGGTGGGTGAAGGTCTTCCCGCATTCGCCGCAGTGGTACAGCGGCTCTGGCTCCGCCTGCCCGGACGAGCCGTTGCTGTGGCTTTCCTGCGACTTGGCCAGCTGCTGGTTGCCGTTGGCTACCAGCACAGATGTGGAGTTTGAGGAGGTGGGGACCGATGAGGACGAGGACACGCTGGAAGACGGCTGCTGCTGCTGCTGGGCGGAGGACGCCAGCAGGGAGGAGTGCTGCGGCTCGCCCCCGATGCCACCCAGCCCCCCCGAGCCTCCCCCCACCAGGCCGGAGGAGGAGCTCTGGCTGTGGCCGCTGGAGCTGCTGCTGTGGCAGCTGCCGCCGCTGTGGCTGCTGCCGTCCGTTTTCCTCTGGGGGAGGTAGCCCGCCATGGCCTTCTTCCTCCTGCTGCCGCCGCTGGAGGTCGACGTCGACGAGCCGTCTCCCGACTTCGCCCCGTCGTCCTTCGTTAGCGACAGGTGCAGCGGCAGGGGGAGGGGCAGCCCGGCCTCCTGCTGCATCAGCGAGGCGATCTGATTGGAGGACAGCACGGGAATGCCTTGGAAATCAAAGCCGCCCAATGGGGCCGGCTGGGGGGCCGGGTGGAGGGGGTGCGGGTGGTGGGTGTGGCTGTGTGGGTGAGATAAGGCGTGAGGGGTCAGCTGCTGCTGCTGCTGCTGAGGCTGCGGAGCCGTATGGCCGTGGCCGTGGGACGAGTGGAGGGCCGGCGGCGGGGCCAGGCCCGAGTTGGAGTCGCCGGCCCCCTGGCCCAGGCCCAGGCCCAGATGATTGTGGGTGCCCTGCTGCACGAGGAACTGCTCCAGGCTGCTGTTAGTGGGGACGCCGGACAGGAAGTACTGGTTGGCCGCCAGCATGCAGCTGAACTGCTGGTGGAGGCTGCGGGGGTCCGACTGGCCCACCAGGGGCACCGCAGTGCTGCCCGAGGGGTTGTTGGAGGCTGAAGCGGAGGTGGAGGGGGAGGGGGAGGAGGAGGAGGGGCCGGGGGAGGGCTGGGGCACAGAGAGACCCGGGTGCAGCGGGGGAGGCGGGGGAGCGGGAGTGACCCCGATCACCCCGGCACCCCCCCCGCCACCGCCGCCGCCGAAGTCGAAGCGGCCCATCCCCGAGTGGAGCTGCTCCTGGGCCAGCGCCGCCTCGGCCGGGTGGAACGGCCGCAGGAACTGGGGGTACCCCGACGAGGACGCCCCGCCCCCGCCGCCGCCGCTCATCTTGCTGGACTTCCTGGAGCTGTGGGACGAGGAGGAGGACTGGCTCTGGTGGGAGATGGCGGGGGGCGGGGCGCTCATTTTGGCAAACAGCGAGGAGGAGTCGGCGAAGGCGTTGCTCCGCGAGCTCTGGAGGGAGCCCAGGCCGAGGCCCGACAGGAGGCTCCCGGAGGTGTCGGCGGAGGGCTGGTGCTGCTGCTGGAGCTGCTGCTGGTGCTGCAGCTGCACCTGCTGCTGGTGGCTCAGCTGCCGCTCCAGCCCCAGCCCTTTGAACTGGTGGGCTTGGTGTCCACTCAGCATCTCCAGGATGTCCATGGGGTACTTGCTAAACTGGAACATCTCCAAAAATGGCTGTGGCAGAGTGTCCCGGGGGCGGAGGAGCCCCGTGCACTAGGTCTGTGGTAGATAGAAAAAGCTGGGAGCCCTTTGCGGACAGGTGTCCGATTCTCACCGTCCTGCTGTGGCTCCAAACGTCCGAGGAGCCACCGCAGTCCACCGAGAAGGCGATTTTCCTCACATCAATGTGGCTCCTCGGTCAGGACCGAGGCCGGGAAGTGCCGCTGCGGGATGCTGCCAGGCGGGTCATAAATAGGACATGTAGCTAAAATGTGTCAAATACAAAAGCGAGTCTGTAGTGTTTCTTTAAAGTGTTCCATCTTCCAAAGAGGTCCAAGCAGTCCCGCGATGTGGAGGGTCGCTTCAGCGGTCGTCTGCGCCGTCATGGAGTCCTTTGGGAAGCCTGTAGGGAAACAAAGAAAAGCCACAATGCTGGTGAGGATTCTGCCACTTCCTGCTGATCAAATGAGCTGTAAGAGAGCCTGAAAACGAGCTCCTGACAGGAACAAATCTGGGCGGCAGCTTTTGCTTTAACCACGACAGATTTTTAGCATTGATTTCTAGAAATGATGATTTTATCCATTGAAGATCCTTTTTCGCCCCATTAGTTGTTGGTGTAGCTCTATTTCTTAGTGATTTCGCATCATAAATCTGCCTTTAAGGGACATTCAGGTGTTTCGTCCAAAGCCCAAATCAGCAGACAGCTCGGTTAGCCACTATTTCTGTTCAACTCTGGAAATGTTGGCATTACATTTGTTTGTCTTTCTAAAGAGAGTCAAAGTCACTGTTCACTGCCTCCAGTTTAATTTACTTTATTATCGTTTAATTACAATATGATGAGTCTAAACTATTTTTTGCAGCCGACTGATCTGGTTCGGTTTCACCTAAAGCGATAAAAGCAATGCAGAAAGTATGGAAACGCTTCAGCGAAGTCACGATAAGAAGCCCTGACAGTGAGCACCGAGCAAAACCTGCTCAACAGGAGCCAGAGATATGCAAATGTGGCCGTAAATCTCTGCTACAGGTTTACAGTGTGAAAACAAACATGTGACAGCACACACAGGTAGGAATTTAAGCACTTTATCTCAAGAATGAGAGACAGCTGGGTGTCAGAGCTGATCAGGTCCAGAGGGAAAAACCCTGAATCCCTTTAAGCCAACAGTCTATACATCTTCATTCCTTCAAAGCACAGACTTTGACAATCAAAGACGAAGGAGACACTTTTCCAGCTACCACTGCTTTTAAACCTCTGACCTTTATTTGTCACTGTCTCTTTAAGTCTGTTTTAGTGCTTTAAATGTGAGTTACGCACAGACAAATGATGCATGCTGCCCCAGTTGTCAGGATGTGTAGGAAAAGAAAAAAACAAATCTATCATAAGAGCCCAAATTAATTTAGATTTTCTAAACACCCCCCGCCCCTTATCTGACTAAATGAACCCTACTCTCTAATCACAGACGTAATTATCTCTTCCAGCTGACAACTTACATCTCTCTTTTGTTTCACAAGGGGGTAAGACCTGCTTTTTTCTCTCCAAATTGTATATAAATGATTGAAGTCACTGCTTTTTGTGTGCTGTTTTTTCCTTTCTGAGGGACACATGGAAATGAAACTGGCTCTTTTGTCTGGCTTTCTGCAGAAATGATGGACATGGATGAGTCTCTCATCGTGTGAGCAGCCACATGTTTGCAGATTTTGAAACCTGCACATCTTCTCTCTTTTAAATCCAGCACTGCCTCCACGCTTGGATCTGCACGTACACAGACCTGCTTTTTGTGCTTATCAGAAACATGAGAACAACCACTAAAATGGAAGCGAAAACCCCCAAAATAGAGGGGGGAAATATTTCCATAATTGAGGACTGTTTGTAAAGTTTCAGCCCGTCTGAGAGCCTGAGAGGACCTTTAAATCCTGACTGAGTGCACGTGGTTCCTCTGAGCGCACCGACACCAACGAGGCCACAGCTGCCACCAAAAACAACCTCAGCCTAGATGCTATCAGCCTCAAGTCCACTTCCACATCTGCTCAGCACATCTGTAGTGTGGGCTAAAGAGGACACTTTTAAGGAGGCAGATTGTAAATTAGAGGCTGAGCAATGAGATTAATCCAGCTTCAAAGATGTAAGTGAAGACGCTGGCAAAGAAGAGAGCAAAATATGATGACTGCTCACTCTCTGAGTACCCATTAGAGACAGTGAGCCTACCGTTAAACATTACAACACCTTATCATTTAACCTGGTGCACCTGTATCATTATCTTAATTTACAACTGAAATTCCACACAGAGTTACAAATTAACTTCAGAGTAACATATTTATCATTTAAATCCTTCTATTTTAGGACTAATTGTTGGATGAATGTATAGAATTATTCCACAGAAGATGTATGTTCAACCTACAGAAGCATTTGAATCATTTTGATGCATCTGGCAGGTCTTTATTTTAAAGAAAACACATATTCAGTCCTAAAAATTTAGATTGCCTGCCATCAGAGGCTGTTTTACCTTATGAGATTGTTTAGTTTTAAAATCATAGAGGCTGAGAGGCAACGTATTAGTGGTTTTAGTTGTCAGACGCATCATAACAAACGTGTTATAAATGCAATTCATGATAAACTGAGAATAATAGTAGATCTGAAAGTTTTGAGAGTAGTTTTCTCATGATTGAGTTGTCCTTTTATTAGTTTATCACAAACACCCTATAAATAAAGGGGGAAAGACCCACTCCGGCTGGATGAATTTAACAGAAATGAGGCAAAAACTTGCTTCATTTGAAACAACTATAAAAACTTAGAAATGCATCCGCCAACCACAGGTAAAAAAATTAAGTGGAGTTCCTCAAACATGTCAAAAAGTTTATCTTAAAAGATCAGATGCTTGAAATAAGAGTTTTTTGGGTGCATTACTCTGCATTAGCTGTGTCTTCAAGTGCACTTGTTGCATCATGTTTCTTTAAAAGATACGAAAGAAAGACAGAAGAGGACTGAACCTTTATATAAAAATTCTCTCCTCTTGATTGTTGTGACTTGTTCTGAGAAGGCGCTCCAGTATTATTTGCAGGGAAAAGCATGCAACTAATGTTCAGACTCGTGCACTACTTAAAAAACCAAGATTTCCTCCTCAATCTCCCTTTCAGTTCTCACTTTCAAAGTGGATGACAACGAAAAAGTCAATAGCCAGACTCCCTGAGATCTGACAGCAGTGTGGCTGCACGCTGTTTGCACCTTACCGGCAGCTCCACAGGTCCGAACCCGCTGCAGGGCCTCTGCTTTTGGGGAACAACGCTCCAATCTGTGCACCGGCTCCCGGAGACCTCAGCTCGACAAACTAAATAAACAGAGAATATAACAAAAAAGGAGCATCGATCAGACCAGGCTAACGACTCCCTGCTAGCGCCCATCAATCACCCTGCTAGCTAACATTCTCTGCGAAAATGCTATTTAACCGCTTCAAAACATGAGAAAATGCGTACAAATCTAACCAAAGTGAGACCCTTGAATGCTAGATTACTTTCAAATTGATATAAAGTGTATATTGACGTGTAATGCAAGGAGTAAGTGAAATAGCTAACGCTAATGGACGCATCCCAGTTTTCTAGCCGAAAGCTAGCAGCGCTAGCAGCTTAGCAGAGCCGTTAGCATGGCGGCTATCAAATTAGCAAACAGAGTCCCGCTGGAAGCGGCGTTTGTTTTCGCGTTTTTACCTCGTTGCAAACGACCTCCGTGACCCTAAAGCGTCCAGAAACAACACGGCGTAGCAGCGAGCGCATGGAGGTGGACGTGCGCTGTGGAAGCGGGGTCCCCTCTGCCTGTCAGCGGGGCCTTTTCTCCTCCATCCGTGGAAAAACACAGTGGAAGGCCTGGATCTCCATCGGCCCGGGAGGGCTGCTTTTCACTCGCTAACAAAACCCGTTTCCGCTGGCCTGGCCCGACTGGTCCATTGTCTGACTCCGGCTCCGGCGGCTCGGCTCGGCTCGGCTCGGCTCGCTTTCACCCACGCCTCGTCTTTGTTTTTGCTCCGCTCGTGTTTTTGCTGCTTTTCTCCTCGGCTGCCCGCTCTCCGCCCCGTTTCAGGTTGAGGTGTCCCCCTCCGTATACGACGGCTCCACCGGAGCTGCTAGCGGCGAAATGGTAGTTTCCTGTCTGCATAATGGTTCCGGGTAGAGCCGGGCACTGCTTTGGTCCGTCCGTCCGGCCGCGACCCCACCGCCGCCACCTCTACCCCACGGGTTGCACAACACGGAGCCTCTCCGGCATGATGCTCGTGGATAGATAAACTGCGTGTGCGCGCGTGTCTCCGCGCGAGCGTGTGTGTACGTGCATGCATGCACGCACGCACGCGAGGTTTGGCTCCGGTTAAAAGATAACTGTGCTTTCTGACACCGCATGTCATTAAAGTCCCCACGAGCGAGCGCGCGTTTTCACACCGACGGTGTAACATGTTAATTAGTCAATTAAAGATGGCATTAAGGCGCGTGCTGCATAACATTGCAAAGTGTGTTTAATACAGCGCGTTTGGGGAATATTTTGCCAATTGGTTGACAACAAATAATAATAAATGTGTCCTTCTTGTGTTTCTTGCCAAGAGCGTTTTTAGGCATGTTTTAGAGAAGCTTGAGCCACCCGGAGCTGATCACTGGCATGCCTAAAAAGTCCCATATTTATGGGGGGGAGGCATAATTGAAGTCCTATTTAAAAGTTAGTAAGTGAAAATTAAGAGGAAAAGACTTTGGGGTTAAATGTGGATATTATGAGCTGACAGTCAGTTTCCCTAAATGAATCATCTCTGATCCTAAACGAAATTCCACTGGTCTCTGTACTCCTCATAAATAAAGTAACTCGTCTGGCTTTAAATAACTTTACAAACACAACTTTTTGAATAATTATCAATTTAATCTGTGCCTTTGTCCTGTTGCTTTGAGTGCATTATCATTACTTTTTTGTTGTTGCACATGAAACCGAACACCACCTTTTTTTGGGACGGTAAGCAATTAATGATGTATAGAATGTGTTCAGGTGTGTGAGCATTCAGCAATGATCACCAGTCACGTGCAGTACTGAGCATATTTGCCATTGTAGAGTCTGTTTGGGAGTCTTACAGCCCAAAGATAAAATCTTATTTTGAAGCAGTTTGTCCTACTTTTGAACTTAAAGCAGGATTTTTTTTAACCCTGGAGTAATGACCTGATTATGTCCCCCGGTGAGGGCGTTGATTTTTGGGCCGTCTTTCACCTTTCACGCAACAGAAAAGGACAGAATGAGGGATCCAGTGATGTCAGTCCTTGTCCAATCAGAGGCATCGCCGCTGAACTAAAAGGAGCTGCTACCTGGTGGAAAACGAGTGGCACCGAGTGGGTTCTGCCCCCATAGATCTGCCAAGAAGCTGTGATCAGAGCTGGTTCTGATGTACAATTCCTCCTGTTAAAAAGGGGTTTTTCTTTCCACGGTCATATCGTGCACACTTAGGATAGAATATTCCTCCTGGTTTCTTCAGCTAGAACACACGGGTTTCTTCAATTGTCTGTGTAAATCGGGCAAATATAGAATTCAGTGAACTGGAATTGATTAGATTCTGATTGAAATCTAATGAACTGGATTGTTTCTTGTTGTGATGTTGAAACAAATGACATTGAACTGGAGGAAAAGTGGGAAAAGGGGCCATTAGTCTGTGGAAAAAGAAGAGCTGGGAGAAGATGACAGTTCACTTATCAAACGCTGAATAAGATTATTCTACAGGTCACAAAGCAGACGGACAGCTTTAAGTGTAATTGTTTTATTATTATCATCATTTAAACAGTATGATTTCTACAAACGCAAGAATTGATCACCGATAACAAAAGGGTTGCACATCTGCCAGACCTTTGTTGGGATATTCTTGGAAATAGACATTTAAGGGGATGTTATAAATAAATGTATCATACAGTTTGAGGTATGCAGAGTAGCTTTCAGAGTACAAATATGCCCATGCCCCCCCGCCCCCCGTGGTTATCACGCTCACGCATACACACAGCCACACAGTTTTCTCAGGGGAGCACTTAACTCAACATGGATTACAACAACAGTAAGAAGACCTTTGAAGGAGGAATGAGCAGGACATCTAAAGTACAACTCAACCTTTACACCCCCCCCCTTTTTTTTGCCTCAGCTCTTTGAAAACAAAGAATTAACCAGTTAAAGTCACAGTAGGCCCTCCTCCTCTTCAGAAACATCATCTGCTGCCAAAAGAAACGAACAAAGACACCCAGATGTGGCGCTTTTCCCTCTGAATTCTGCTCAAAACCAGCACAAATCAGGAGGCTGGTTGAAAAAAACGAGCGCTCTTTGCAGATGTGTTACCTTCAGATGGCGGCCAGTCAGGGATTTCATAAAAACTTCTAGCGTTTCACACATTTCAGACGTCTGACGGGTCCTCGCGCACCTCTGAAAGGAGGAGAGGAAAAAGCAGAGAGGACCTTTGGGCTTTCTTTGGGGCTGATATGGATGCAGAGCGACGGAAGCTTGGGCCTGAATGATGCGACACACAGATGGACACACACGCACGCACACGCACGCCGAGACGTCACCGGCCACCGCCACAGGCTTGTGACATCATATTTTCCCTCTGACTGCCTCGGCTCTTTTTGAGCTCCCGCCGGTGCGAGGAGTCTTTTCCGTTTCCTTTTTCAGACTCCACCAACAAGCATTTGAATTACAGGAAATACAGGATTACACCTTAAAATTCACAGATAAAAAAATAAAAGAAAACACACGTTCAAGTAAAAGACAAAGAGAAAAAGATGGTGATAGAGAGTGCTCGCCGTCTCGTTTAGGGGTGGGTTTCTTTTTCTAACCAGGAACAGGCGAGAGCTGGCAGGAAGTTTTCCTCCAACATCAAATCGTGTCTGAACATCTCAGAGGGGAAGTGAAGGCCTTGTAAACGGCCCCCCGTGAGGGATAAAACCCAGCCAGCGTCCCGCTGCCCGAGAAACAGAAGAATGTACAAAATATGACATCATCATGGTCCCCCCCCCTCCACAACAACCAAAACAAGTGTTTTCACATCTCACACAAAAAGTGGCTCCTTGCATGTAAATATTTGCTCTCGAAACAAAAAAAAAAAAAGGACCGGGTGGGGGTGGGAAGAAGAAGCCCCCCCCCCCCCACGACGGCGAGAGAAGGTGAAAACCAGAAGCAGGGCGCTGCTCGGAGCGCAGACACACAAAGATAATTGGGTTAGCCCTTGGTGTGAAGTGTCCATTCCACCCCCCCCCCCCCCACCACCACCACCGCCCCCCGGCCCTTTAAGCGAGGCGAGCAGCTGGACTTGCAGGTAGCGCGTGGCGTGGCGGACGTGCGGGAGGGTGAGCTGGGCGGCGGCTGGAGGCGGGAGGAAAGCCCCCGACCTCCTCCGAGCCGGCCCAAACGCTGCCATGGTGTCCACCGGTTTGGCTCCTCTCGACGGGGCGCCGCTCCAAACGAGGCGCCGTGTTTCCGCAGGTGACCGCGCTCGCTAAAAATTCACTTTACAAGGCTTCAAGTTGGCTAAAACGAGTCAAACTACCTGGTAAATGTCACTTTGGAGGCCCAGGCACAGCAGGAACACAGAGGACTGCGGTTCTCAGGGAAAGTAAACGCTCTGAGAAACACGCGCAAACACACAAAACAGCTGCAAACATCTGGGTTTGCTCATCAAAGTTGATGTACAAGCATTTTCTTTCCAAAGCAACCTATCGTTTTTTTAAACAAAGTCCATTTTTCCCGCAAATCCTCCGACCTGACGGTGGATTTTCAGGGCCAAAAAACGGAAGAAACAGAGAGAATAATCTCTTTTTTTATGCTCAGGCCTGAGATGTGGGGCTGGCATCTGCAGTCTGATTAGTTAGCAGGTCAGTCGCACATTTTTCAGGTATTTCACCCTTTCTTTGTTCACTTTGGAGGACGAGACAAATGCCAATAAGCTACAAACGGCCTCCTCCATACGAAGCTGGGCCTGCTAGATGCATCAGTGGGACAGGAAACTGGACCTGGCGGCTTTCTCTGCGCAGAGCTGGTGTGACTGGGCCCGACGGAGGTATGGGTTTGATCCTCAGCTGGTCATTTCTGACCTAAATTTGAAAGTAAACAGAGCCGTGAACCCACCGAATCTTCATCTCGAGCGTTCTTGCTTTTTTTGATAGTCCGACCACGACAAGAGAAAAGCGACGACGGGCCGATCGGACGTCGAGCCCTTCACCCACAAACCGGCTTGGCTTAAGAGTTAAATACGTTTTCGGCTAAGAATACACAAAATCCTACAGGGCTCAGTACCGCTAATATCATCGATAGCAAGTTAGCTTCATATAAAAGTAACTTGTTTGGTTTTAAATAACTTTATAAATACAACAACAAGCAAACTTGCCCGCCTCCGGCTCGGCGCTCTCCATCATCCTCGGAGGATTCAAAGACAGACGAGTGTCTGTCAGAGCGCTCGACGACGGCGCAATAAAACTCAAGGACAACTCAACAACTCGACGGATATCCTTCAATAAAAGTCACAGCGAATACCCAGCAGCCTCCCAGCTGCATTTTTTGCTCTTTTTACAAGGGCGCTCGACCTCCCCTCTCTAAAGAATGGCTGAATATTCTCTTTTAAAACAGAGTGAAAGGAGAGAATCGGCTGGCTTTACTCACTACGAGAATAAAGGTGTCATGCACCGTGTTTGAGTGTTTTAAGGGGGGGGGGCTGACTGTGGCCCCTGTGAGGCAGCCGGCTGGGGTCTGAGCCTTTTCCTGCCCGGCTCCTCACTTTCCCCTCGAAAGCCAACGCAGCCTCAGCTTCTTCACCAACTTCTGTCCTTCATCAGTTCTTCTCTGCCTCCGTTTCTCCTCCTCTCACACGGTCACCTCGTTCTTACTCCCAGTCCGCAGTCCCTGTCCTCCTCCTGCTCCTGCTCCTCCTCCCCCCCCGGGGAGGAAGTGCAGCTGTTCGATGGTGTTCTGCCTCTTGCTGGCAAAAGCCATCCGCCGGGCGCTGGGGTGGCCCCCGATAGTCCCGCTGTGGGCCCCGTGGGGGTCCCAGCCGCCATGCACGCCCATGCCGTGCATGGGCACGCCCATGCTGGGCACGCCAGCGGGGCCGCGCTCGTGGTCGTGGCCGGGCGTCGGGTGGGAGTTCATCTTGATCATGTGGTGGCGGTCCAGGGAGGGCGTGACGCAGATGTTCTGCTGGGACTGGGCCTTCTGGTGGTGGCTGAGCCGGCCCATGGTGGGCACCATCCCGCTTCCCGCTCCCCTGTCCACTCCTCCGGCTCCGGCCATCATGCCCATGGTCATCAGCCGGTCCTCCAGGCGGTCCGGGGAGACCAGCAGCCTTTCGTGGGACCTGGAAGTATAGACTGGTTATCCTGTCTGCGGCGCCCTGAGCTGAGGACGCTCTGACTCGGTCGAGTTCAGACCACCCCTCCCTTCCTCCTCCCCCTCCCCCTAATCCGGCTGGGAACTGACCTGCGGAGCGTCTGGGACGTGGTGCTCCTGCTGGTGCTCATGGTTGCTTTGTAGTACTGGTGCTGCTGGTTCTTGGACAGGCGGGACAGGGTGTTGCCCTCCCCCAGGGCCAGCAGCTGGTCCTGGGAGCGGACGCGGCGCGGCGGCCTGTCGAAGGTGGAGCTGGCGTAGGGGGGCTGGGAGGGCAGCGGGTAGGGGTTGGGGGTGGCGGCGGGCATGTGCAGGTGTGGCCTGGAGCCGTGCAGAGGCAGGGTGCCCCTGGACCCCAGCGTGTAGTCCCCGCCCCAGGGCAGGTGGTGCTGGGAGGAGTGGAAGGAGGGCGCAGCATTGTTGGAGCGACGCTTTGTGGAGTAGTAGTTGGAGTACTCATCCAGTTCTTTCTCTGTTCATAAACAGATGGAGACAAAACGAGCAAATATCATGTAAATATAAATGTAATATTGACTCATGTTGATGATGTCTGAATCAAGTGTTTGGTCTGTGAGGACGAAGAAGAAGATTTTACATATCAGGACAAAATCTTTGTTCCATTCCAGGTCTTCAAACTAAATCAAACAGCCACAGACCAACAACACGTGGCATACTACAGTGTTATTATCCATTAAAATACCAAAGCTGCATGCTGAAACGGAGAGAAAAAGCCGCAGCCAAATTAAAATAATCAGATTCAATTAGCCTTCAAAAGCAGAAGTTTGTTGCTCGGGAGGAAAGACATCAGCAGATCCACAACTCAGGAGTGTGAAAAGACGAATTGGAGACAAAAGGGGTTGACGAAAGATGCTGTGTACTTAACGTATATTCAGATAGAAATAATGATAAACGATGGTGGTGGCATAAAGAAGTGGAGGAGATGGGGGGGGAAAACACAGATTTGTTAATAGTTTCATTGCTTTTCTCTCCACAGACGGTTTGCTTTAATCTTCAAAGCATCTCCATGGATGCAGCTCCCCAAGAGCCAATTTAAACCCGACCTTTCAGCAGCCACCTCGCCACCTCTTCCTCCCATCTCATCTCTTCTTTTCTCTCCCTCTCAGGTCTTTTCCCCTCCTTCTGTTTGTTCCTTTGTTGCCACTGTTCTCCTCATTTCCCCTTCCCAGCAGCTCCTGGGGTTTTCTCTCTGCGTCTTGCTCGGCCTCTCCCCTCCTCTCCTTGTTTGCTCCCTTTCGGTAAGGCCAAATTATCTCAAGGTTTTCTCTGCGGCCGCAGACAAAGAGGCCTTTATCGCTGCCCTTTCTGTGGGAAACCACATCAAAAGCGCCAGGTTTCAAAGACTCGCTGGAGAGAGGCAGTATTCCTTCTCCAGGGGTTATACCGACAACATTTCACTCCCACTTTGGGGAGCATTTCAATATCACTGCCATCCTTTGTGGAAAACCTAAAATCACATCAAAATAAATCCAGTCCGCATCTGGCCTTTAAATTGTTGTATCAGCTTCATGTTTACTCATATCTGCCTTTAAAGGACAATTTGATTTAATATTCAACATTATTTTGATTTAGAAAATCTGAGAAACGGGCGGTGGTTAGCACCGTCGCCTCAGAACCAGAGGGTTCTGGGTTCGAGTCCCCGGGGGAACCAGGAGACTGTGTGGAGCCTGTATGTTCTCCCTGTGTCCGTGTGGGTTCTCTCCGGGTTCTCCGGCCTCCTCCCACCGTCCAAATGATTGGACATTCCAAATTCCCCGTAGGAGTGAGTGGTTGTTCGTCCTTGCGTGTCTCTGTGTGGCCTTGCGATGGACTGGACCGTCCAGGGTGTACCTTGCCCATTGACCACTGGGATAGTCTCCAGTCTCCCCATTATGGAATAAGCGGTTACATTAAACTATTACGATAATGGATGGATGGAATCAGAGGAACTTCTTCTGCAGTGCTCCTAATGTAGATGCGTCTCATTGAATCTTCCCGGGACTATTGGGGGGGGGGGGGGGGGGGGG